GGGCCACAAGACGGTGCTGGGCAGGAGGCTGGGCTGTGGAGGAGGCTGCGGGGCTGGCACCCCCGGCACGCACAGGGCCCCCACCCCCGCCAGGGTCCTTGGGGGAGTGGCCCAGGGCCTCCGCCACGTTCTTCAGGGCGGCGATGGGTGAGGGCACCCCAGGGGCGTCGGCGGAGTACGGGCCACCCGGGGCGACCCAGTGCCGCTGCTGCTGTTCCTCGGTGGTCATCTTCCCAGCCGCCTCACCCTCGGGCTCGGGGGATGCCTTGCGACGGCGTGGCGTGGGCGCCAGGTTCCGGGACGGGGCTCGCGGGGGTGGACCACAGAGAGCTGCAGGGGCTGCCTCTGGATACTGCTGAGGCAGGGCCTCTGCGGGAGCTGGCTCTCGGAAGCTGCGGACACCGTCGGTTAGCAACTCCCCCAGCTGGCGCCATTCCCCTGAGCCGTGCCTCCGTTCATATTCGAGGTACTTGAAGCCTGATGAGGCCAGAGCCTTGCCCGGCTCCCTCAGGGCATCATGAAACATCTGGCGAGCCACGGCCAGGACTCCTGCATACACGTTGCCAGAGCCACAGGGATATTCGGTAAAAAGCTTCAGCTCGAACTCATAGCCCGGCGGGCGGGCAGTAGCATCAAAAGCGAACACCCGTCCCACCAGCCCATGATCCTTCTTGAAGCGGACATTGAAGGGCGCACAGGCCGACAATGCCAGCAGCTGTTCCCGCACAGCTTTGGGGCGCCCGTGCCACTCCTCCGCCCGGCCACGCATGGCCTCGTTCAGTTCTGCCAGACAGTCCGCATTCCTCTGCTGCTTCTCCTTCTCGAAATCGGAGCCAAAAGCCGGACGGGCAGGACTCAAGCCGGGTGCCAGCGTCAGGCCTCGGCTTCCCAGGCCAGATACCGCAGCTGCCAGCAGCCCGGGGGGCACCAAGCTGGGCATGGAGCCAAGCAGGGCCCTCCGCGCCCCCTCCGCCACGGCCTCCTCGCGGCCCAGCCCATTAGCCAGGCGAGACCCCAGGGTGTACTCCAGGGCGGGAGAGGGCAGGGGGAGGCGGCCCGACGATGTGGCTCTGTCATAGCGGTCCGGGCCAGAGATACCACCGCCTGTTCCTGACGGCTGGGGCTGGGCCTGTGGAGGCGGTAACTGAGGCCCCTGGGCAGAGGCCGCAGCCAGGTCCTTAGTGGTCGGGTGCTTGAGGGCGGGGGGCCCGGGAGAGCGGCCCTCGGGGAGCACGTGGCTGCGCTTGAGTTGGCGGGCAGCGTCGATGAGCAGCTCGATGCGATCCGCACCCTCGAAGTTCACGCAGCCGCGACACACAGCCTCGCTGAAGTCCCACACCATGGCCCACGGCATCTTGGGCAGGTCGCACAGGTAGCACCACTGGCGGCGGGACGCCTGCACGGACGCCATGACCCCCGCGCGCGCGCCGCTGAGCCCCGGCGTTCCACCCAACGCCGACGTTCGATCCGCGCCGCAGACGTTCGATTCGTGTCTCCGGGACCGCGCAATCCACAGTCAGGCCTCCGACTCGGCCTCCCCGCCGATCCAGGCCCGGCCCCCCTTCCCCGCCCCCTGGGCCCTAAGCCTTTTTCCTCACTCCCGCCTCCTTGAAAAGCCTGTTAGAGGCACTTCGGCGCCCCTGCCCGGTCTGGTCTCCGGGCCGAGGCGCACAGCTCGGGCCCCGGAATGGGCCGCGGGCGCCGCCGCCTCGGGCTCCCGCCGATCCCGCCGCCGCCGCCGCTGCTGCAACGGCCGCCGCCGCCTCCACCTCCTTCTGCCCCAGAGGCCGCTTCGCAGGGAAAGTTACATAACGCGCCGGCAAAGCCTTCTGGGAAACGTAGTCCCGCCGGGCCCGATTCTTAAAGGGGACGGCTGGCGGCGGAGAGCTGGGCTGGTAGCTTCTCCCACGCGCAAACCCTACCATTCATCTCGGCGAGGCAGGGAGTTCCACGCGCTCGGAGGAGCTCGGGCATAGGGCTTGGGGGCGGGGATGAGTTATGAATGGTCACAGCTATCATGGATTCAGAAATGGTAGGAAATGGACATGATTTCGGGCGTCTAGTTTCCGTTCTGACTTGCTGTGCAGCTTTAGGCAAATGTCTTGCTCTTTCTGAGGCTCAATTCCCCGCCCATCAAAGGTGGGCCAATGTCTGGTTAAGGACGCAGCAGCTCCTGGGGCGGGGAGGAGAGGCCCTGATTGGATGGTTTCAGGGTAGGGGACGGGAAGCTGGCAACTGGGAGAGGGAGGGTTCTGCTTGGCACCCCGTTTGCCTCCAAGGTTGTGTATCATGGGGCCGGAAGCAGCCGGAGAAAGAGGAAGAACGAACGCCTCTGCTCCAGGCCTCTGCCACAGTTGCCTCATCTATTAAAGAGAGTGGTCCAACGCCCTCGAACTCTGTTCCATCTCTGCCGGCGCGCTCTGGTCTACAAAGGGTTACACTGTGTTTCTCCCCAGCTCCCCACTGCCACTTCACTACAATTCCCAAACTGCTCTGCCGGGAGGACAAACTGACGTACTTCCGCTGCCTGGGAGGCGGGGGGAAGGCCTTCCCGATTGCCGCTGTCTCCTACAACCGGCTCAATGTCTGGGGGTTTTAGGTTTTTGAGGGAGCACTGCGTTGAGGGAATCCTCACCCTCTACTGACCGCTAATTTGGGGGAAGGGAGGGAGGCCGAGGATGGTCAGCAAGAGTTGTAGGGAGTAGTTTTTCTCCAACCTCCAGTGCTTACTACCTGATCGGACCAACCAGGCTTTGGGGACACCCCCACCCCATCCCGCCCCCGGGGAGGGATTTCTTCCCAGCATCGGGAACAGTGCGAGTCAGGCTGGAAGAGGAGGGAGGGAGGGAGGGACAAGTCTCCAGGTTCTAACTCCCATCACCCTCTTCCTCTCTCTTAAGCCTGGGTCCGTGATAACTCAAAAATATTTGAATGACTTGTCAGACTTGCATTCATTAGTGGCTTTCAAACTAATCGGACTACTCCCTCTCCCACATCCCGGTGCAATCCTAGCTGCTGATTTTGTTATCCAAACACCGCTGTCAGCTTCACAATTTCGCTTAACATCTGTATTATTTTCTGGAAATTGACTCCCTTAACCAAAAAAAAAAAAAAAAAAAAAAAAAAGAAGAAGAAGAAAGAGAAAAAAAAAAGACTATCTACTTTTGCCTCATCCTAAGCAATACAGGCATACCTCGGAAATACTGTGGGCTCTTCCCAGACTACCACAATAGAGCAAACCTAGCAATAAAGCAAATATCACAATAGAACAAGTCAAACGAACTTTTTGGTTTTTCCAATGTATCTAAAAGTTTACACTATGCTACCATGTCCAAAGAAACAATGTATATGCTTGAATTTAAAAATATTTTATTGCTAAAAAATGCTAACCATCATCTGAGCTCTGAGGTCAGTGATCCCAGAGCGCCATAGCAAATGTAATAATAATGCAAAAGTTGGAAATACTGCATGAATTACCAAAATGGGACACAGATACACAAAATGAGCAACTGCTGGAAAAATGGCCCCGACAGACTTGCTTGATGCAGGGTTGCCACAAACCTTCAACTTGTAGGGGGAAAAAATGCAGCATCTTAAAGGAAAGCACAATAAAACGAGGTATGTCTGTATTATGGGCAGAAGTGTAGGTTTTTTGGGGGGAACTAGCTACATTTTAATCAAGTTTAATACCACGTAAGAGCTATTAAAAAGGCCATCCATATGGACATGGATGGCTCAGTTGTTTAAGCATCTGCCTTTGGGTCAGGTCATGATCCTTGGGATCAAGGAGCCACATCAGGCTCCTTGCTCAGCAGGGAGCCTGCTTCTCCCTCTACCCCTCACCCAGCCTGTACTGGCTCTCAAATAAATACATAAAATCTTAAAAAATAAAAGCAGCCATCCACATATCACCGAAAATTGCCTTTAAGCAATTCTTCAGTAAAAACTAGTTGCGGGGGTTGAGGTCTAGAGTTCTGGCTGGGGTCCAGCTTCAGGTCAGCTGAATTGCGATTGGCCCCTGACAAGTTTAGTGTAAGTCTCTAAACTCAGGAAAAAAACATAGACCCCCCACTAGAGTCTGCATTTCACTGGGCAGCCTCAAGTTAAAATGAAAACATGCATATAAATGTTTAGCATGGTGCCTGGCCCAGAAAAGGAGCACCACACATGGAGACTGTTTTTAAGCTGCTCATTAACTTTCCTCCTGTGCTGGGCGATGCTGAGAACACAGCACTGATCTAGCTAGACTCAGGCCTTCCCCTGACGGGGCTCATCCCGGTGATGGGAGGCAGATGTCCTACTTAAATTTACTCAAGTAGTATTTAACTATGTTTTTCCCCTAACTGCTGGGTGAGAGGGAGTGCCAGGAAAGACTTTACTGAGGAGGTGGTATTTGAGCTGAGACCTGAAGGATGAAAACAGAATGGAGCTCTTGTGGACTCCTCCATCTTTTATACCCATTTTACAGATGAGGAAAAAGAAGGACCACACAGCTGGCCAGGGTAGTGACAGGGGTTGGGCCCCGTCTGACTGAATCAGATGGGGACATGGTGATTATTAGCCACTTTGCGACTACGCTTTGCAGCAGGTTTAGGAGGTAAAAAAACCAAAAACCAAAAACCAAAAAACCGGCTCTTGCCTTCATGAAACTGGGGAAGGGTGGGGGAATGGGGACCAGCTTTAAAGAGATAAAGGCATGTGCTCATTTAGGGACCACAGGACGCTAGAAAAAAATTTAGGCAGGCCCATTCTAGCCTTGAGGAGGAAATCCAGAAAGTTCCCCTGGAGGAGAGGACACTTAGGCTAATTTCTGAAGGATGGGTAAGTAGGAATAAGATTTGAACACAGAATTTGATGGGTTTAAGGAAAGAAAGGGGAAAAGGCGGGGTGGGGGGGACTGGAAAACCGCCAGCCTCCAAGTTCAACGGGACACCCCATCCACAGAGGGGTGGGGGCAGGTGTAAGTGCAGAAACCCCCAGGCCTGTCTCAGAGCCCAAAGTAGTTGTATTAAAAATAAGTTTATTCGCATCTTGTCACCACTCAGGAGAAAGGAGGGGGTTGAGCTCTGGAGGTCAGAGAGAGCAATGGGAGGCAAAGGGCCCAACCTGTACCTCCCCAGTGAGAACTCCACCCCCCTCTCCCTAGGGTACAGACTGCTGTATCCTTTGTCATCCATATTCTGATCTGTCTCGAGACTCCCAGCCCCTCCAAAGTCTGGATCCGGGAAGCGAGGAGGCCCCTTTGGGTCAATTCTCTTCAAGTCAAGACCAGGAGTTGTTAGGGAAGGGGGTATGTGCAGACCCGAGGGATTCCCTCCGCAACCCACGAAGGGCAATAAGGTAAAATCCATGGCTTAGAAGTTAGGGTTTGGGGAAGCAGCCAGGCAGACAGCGCTGTACTGGAGAAAGGGCCGGGGCACCCATCAGTGAGGTCCCCTGAGAATCAGGCACTAACTAGTAGAGGGAGTGGGGTGCTCGTGCCCCTGCAGCAGGGGAGCCCGGGGGCAGCTGAGATGGGGAAGATGCATCGCCCTCCTCCACTGGGCTAAGCTGGGGGGAGGAGGTGCTGGCAGGAGGAGCAGAGACGAGCTCAAACCCAACCAACGGCAGATTTCACTTTCACGGAGATTTCCATCGCCCCCTCCTCTTCCGTGTAGGGAAACCTTTCCTCCTCTTGTGTGGGGGTGAGTCGTGGGGAGGAAGCGGGGCTGGGGGTGGCTGGGGGGCCCCCTCCTCGCTCCTAGGGGCGATGATCACCCCCCTGGCTGCGACCACCGCTCCGTCCACCACAGCAGCTACCACGGACACTGGCTCCGGAGTGATCTCGGCTTTGGGGGTAGGAGGGGGCAGGAGAGGCCTGGGGGCTGGAGGTGGGGGTGGGGGCGGGGGTGGGGGCAGCCTGTCCACTGCGGTTCCCGGCAGAAGGGGCAGTAGGGCGCTGAGGGCCTCACTCAGTTTGGCCAGTCCCTGCTGAAGGGTGCCAGCCAGCTCCCGGATGGCGTTGGCAGTCTCCTGCTGAGCCCGCAGGAAGTCCAGGGAGGGGTCTGGGGCCGAGGGCGTAGGTGGTGGCAGTGGAGGAGGGGCTGGGGGCGGTGGAGACAAGGCCAAACGGGGCAGCTGGACCGTCTGCAGGACTGGAGGGGGCGGGGACTCACGCTCCTTGGGTGGCGGGCAGCCCCCTTCCTGGGGACTGCAGGAGGGCCGGGCCCACTGCTCAGGGCTGCTGGAGCCCCCCTTGCTGTGGGCTGGTGTATCTGTGGAGAGAGAGAGAGGTAGGTGATGGCGACTCCCCCATGCTGTCTTGATTTCCCCTTTCCACTTCCAACACATCCTGGTCCCAAAGCCATCTTTCCAAAACCCGAGTCAGATCGTGCCTTGGAGGAGAACACAGGGGATAGAATCAAACGTATTTAACAACCACCTGAAGGCCGATGCCGGCCTTAGTGGAACCGGGGTCCTGGAGGTCCCCTGCGAAGCCAGGAAGAACCAACATTCTAGAAGGCTCTGAACACTCTGGAACCCCCCGCCCCACCCCCACTCCCCCACCGTACACCTCTCAGGCCGCATTGCTGGGCTCTGTCCAATCAGGTGGGAGGAGTTCTATTTCAGCTGTGGTCTGTACCAGTTCAAACCCAAGCCTGTTGCCTTTGATTCCTGGCTCCTCTCACCTGAGATTTCATTCATGCTCATGAACTTGAACAGAGTCCGCCACCAGAGGCTCCCAGGTTTCCCAGCCCCGCTGGAAACTTCTCCTCCAGTTGTGTCCTTGCGTGCCCCTTCCATCACCTAGCAATGGCTCACACTCTGGCCCAAAGCTGAGCTCCTGGTCCTCCCCCATCCGCCTCTCCCCATGGGCTGATGGCCCCTCTGTCTTTCCTGCCACCCCGGGCCAACACTTTCACTTCTCTTCTGCCCCAAGACACCTTCTGTGTGCAAATGTCACTGGCTCTGCCTTCAGACTATTTTCAACATCCAACCTGTTTGTTCTGCCCTCCTCTCCCTCCACAGCCCCTCCTGGTTCAACCACCCGGCATGTCCCACTTGGACGGTTGAGGTCCCACCAAAATAACATGTCATTTATGCTACCCGCAGAGGACCACCTGGCCTCTGATCCGTTTATATGAAATGTCCCAAAGAGGCAAGTCTACAAGAGACAAAGAGTAGATGAGTGGTCGCTTGGAGCTGCCCAGAGCGGGGGGTGATGGCTAAGAGGTGCGGGGGTTTCTTTTCAGAGTGATGAAAATGTTCTCAAATTGATGGTAGTGAACGGTTGTACAACTCCAGGAATGCGCTAAAAGCTCCTGCATTGTCCACTTTAAATGGGGGGAGCTATACAGTATGGGAATTTTATCTCAATCAAGGTGTGTAAACAACACAAGTCACATGTGGTCTTTCTCTGCTCAAAAGCTGCCTGGGGCTCTCATCTCCACATAAAATCAAAGCCCTTGCCCCCCCCACCCCCGCCGCCAAAGGGTCTCCGCAATTTGCCCCACTACCTCCCTGACCTCATCTGTACTCCTCCCCTTTGTATCTCATTCAGGAGGCTCCAGCTGCATTAGCCTTCTTGTTGGTGGTCCACAAACACAGCAGATCTGCCCCTGCCTCAGGGCCTTTGCACTTGCTGTTCCTTGGCCTGGAAAGCTCTTTCCCCAGACACCTAGCTGGCTCCCTCCCTTGGCATCTCTGCTCAAATATGGCCTCCTTGGGAAGACCCTCTGTGACCTGCTATCTACAGTGGCTCCCGTCTCTGTCCTTTTCTCTCTCCTAACCCTACCTGATTTCTTTTATACCACTTATCTCCACCTGGCATGGGGTCGTTCTGTGTTTGTTGTCTCCTCCTCCTGATGTCAGCTCCATCAGGCAGGGCTTTGTTATGTTCACCGCTGTTTACCCAGCGCCTAGAACAATGTCCAGCACAAAATTTTTTCTTTAATGAAAAAAGAACTGTGGCTTCCAGGGAGTTAGCCCTGACTGGGGCCCTGGGCCCCAGGTCCTTGCCGCAACCCTCCCACGGCTTCCCAGCACCCACAGGAGACACAGGCCAGCCCCTCCCAAAGCCTGCAAGGCCTCAGCTCTTACCCCTTTCTGTCCCTCGTCCTTGGCTCAGGGCCAGCCAAGGAACATGCAGTTCCCTCCACCAGGAGTACCCCCCCCCCTTGCATGGCCCCTTGGCCAGCTCAGAGACTCTTTCCTTGGGGAAGCCTGCCTCCTGCTCCAAGGCCAGATCTGATCTCCCTACCCTCTTGTCCCAGCAACAGCCCGCCACCTCAAGCCTTAAATGCTGGGGCACCAGCCTCCCTGGGCCAGCCAGGCAGGGGGAGGCAGGGAGAGAGGTGATAACCAGCGCTAATGCTTGTTAGACTCTTTGCTGGCTCGGCCCCGGTGTGAAGCAGTTAACCTTTCCTCCTATGTTCTTGCAATGTGTCCTCTTAGCCATTCTCTGGGGGTAGGTGCTGTTATTATTTGCCCATTTTACAGATGAGGAGACCTGAGGCCCAGAGAGATATCACAGTGCTGGTGAATGGGAGAAGAGGGATTTGAACCCAGATGGAACCCATGCTTTTGACTACTCCTTGGACAGGGCTCTGGGCCCAAGGGTATTGAGTCCCCGTCATGAGGGGTGTGGGCACTGTTGCCACTCTGAAATACCGCTCTTCTAGTCTACTGAACAACAGAAAGTTGCCCAGCTGTCATGTCCACAGAGATCATAGAAGGGCCACCACAAGATTTAAAAGCATTTATCTGCAAACTTTAGGCCTCAGTTTCCCCACCTGTAAATAGGTGTGTGGGGGGGCAAAGGACCAAGTGACCCAATTAACAGAACATCTCCCTGAGGGCCATCACGGGGATTAACTGAATCACCCCAGGCACAGGAATGAGGCCATCTTCAATGCCGTTACTGTTATTTTATTTATTTATTTATTTTTCAAATATTAGGTCTGAGGGAAATTATCCTTAGGCCTCCCTCTAGTTTCAACAGAGATGCCTCAGGCTGCCCCAGACCCTGTTCCAGTCCTGCAGTCAGAGCAGTTCCTCTTTTATGAGTTTACACAGTGGGTAATCTCCATATGAGGTCCCAATCAAGGGTGCTTTAGCCCATTGCTGCCCCAGGGCCTTTGCATGTGTGGCTTCTTCTAGCTGAAGTGCTGTTCTCCCAGATATCCGACTGACTCACTTATTCTATTCAGGTCTCTGCTCAGATTCCACCTTCTCTGGGATGCCCTCCCTGACTACAGGGCCCCTTCCATCACTCACTATGCTTTTAATGTGCTTTATTTTTCTCCTTAGTTCTTATCACCTCTTGGTGTATGATCTGTTTGGGGGCTACTTGTTCTGGTTTGTCTCCAATAACTGGAAAGCCAGCTCCATTGTCTTTCTCTCCACAGTATTCCAGCATCTATCACTGTGCCTGTCTCAAAAGAGGTGCTCAATAAATATGTGCTGACTTAATGAATGAATAAAATAGTTGTGCAACTCTTGGAAAAATAAGTTTGCCATCTCTGCTCTGGTTCAACGTGGGCATTTCACAGAAACAATGGGGTTTGAGACTTATATTGAGAACAAGGGTCCCAAGCAATTGTGTCTCTCTCTCCTGCCGAGGACGCTTTCAGGCCTCCCCAGTGCCCTGAAGATAAAGTCCAAAGTGATGACCTTCACTTACACACTGCATGTGATCTAATTCTGGCATACCCATTAACTCCCAGTCAATATTAATTGTTGCTGTGATTGCCAGGCAATCTAGCCCAGTGGTTAAGTGCATGCGCTGTGAGTTGGACACAACCTGTATTTGAGACCCAGTTCTACTACTTACTTGCTGTGTGACCTTGGGTAGGTGAACAAACCTCTCTGAGTCACATTATCCTGAACTTGTTTGATCACTTCCACATCCTTCCCTTCCTCAAAACCCTCCAGTGACTCCTTCTAGCACTTAGGATGGAATTCCTCACCTCAGCCTGAAAGGCACTACCTGGTCTGGCCTTTGCTGACCTCTCCGACCCCATCTCAAAACATTTCCTTTCTTCAGTCTTTTTACTTTCCCATTCCCTTAACTTGGAAACTTCTCAGTTTCTAAACAGGCTAAGCCTTCTTGTCTCAAAGCCACTGTACATGCTGTTCCTTCTACCAGGAACACTTCTTCAGCTCCTCATTCTTGCTCTGTGCCTCTGATGTCGCCTCCTCCAGGAAGCCTTCCTTGACCTCCCAGCCTGGGTCACGTGCCCCTTCCACACTCCCACAGCTCAGCCCCAGGAGGGAAGGGCTGGGGATGTCTCAGTCACCACTGTTTCCCCAACACTGCCCAGCATAGGGTAGGTGTTCGGTAAATAGCTGTAGGAGAAAGAATAACCCAAAGTTGAGGCTAAGTGGGAGTCTGTGCACTCTGCTCTGCACACTTGCCCTACTCATGGCATGACCTTGGGAAAGTTACCAAACCTGAGTCTCTGATTTATAAAATTGTAAAATAGTTCCTACCTTCCAGCACTGATAATCCTATCAAGAGCTAAAAGTGAGTGTCCAGGAGATGTATTAAGCAATTTACACGTATTAACTCCTTTAATCTTTGCAGCAAGCTTTTGAGGTGGGGACTATTTTTTTCAACCCCATTTTACAGAGGTGGAAACTGAGCCACAGGAACTTACCCAAAATGACACAGCTGAGTGGCAAAGTTGTGACGGGAGCCCAGATAGCCTGTCTCCATTGTCACCACCTTACATCGCCTTCAATGAAATCTTGAGCATGTGCTGATAATCCCAGGTGTGGACTCTGGAGCCAGGCCTCCTAGGTCTGGGTTCCATTCCTGACTCTGACAGTCATGAGCTGTGGGACTTTGGGTGAGTCACTTCACTTTTCTGAGCCTCAGTTTCCCCAGATTTAAAATGGGCATAATCACAGCACCCACCTCACAGGGTTGTAAGGGAGGTTGTGATGAGCCACGGAGAGGGCTCGAAACAGTGCCCAGAACACAGCTGACTTGGTGACTATCTGCTCCGGCTACGGTGAGGCTGGATGAACTCACCTGCCCGTCGGTCCTCCCTGCGGTCCTCAGACAACACGTGGCGTTGGGCGCCGGCACTTGGGGCTGGCGGCTGTGAGGAAGCGGCCCCGGAGGTCTGCTCGGCCCCTGCACCAGCTCCTGGCCCCGCCACGCCCGGCCCCAGGATGGCAAAAATGGTCTCCTCCTCCGCGGAGAAGGCGTCCTCGGCGGCAGGCCCGGCGCCCTGCGTGGAGTGCGGCACTCGGGCCAGCTTCTCCTTGGTGCGGCGCTTGAAGTCATTCCAGCGCTTTTGGACCTCCTGGCCGGTGCGCTTCCAGCTGGTGATGCCGTTGATCTTGGCGGCGATGCCGTCCCACACACGCCGCCGCTCAGCCACGCTCACCCGACGGCTTTGCGCGCCATAGAGCTGCGGGTAGTGGGCGCGCACCTCGCGGATCAAGATCTGGTTCTCCTCGAACGAGAAGCGCGGCTTGCGCAGCCGGGTGGTCTCTTCCGCTTCGCCCGCCGCCGCCGAGGCCATGGCGCCCCCCGACGCCGCCGTCCGGCCGCTTGGCGCATGGGGGGGCGCCGGCGCTGCGGGCACATGGCGCACGGCGCTGGCGGGGGCTCGGCGTCCGCGCGCCGCCCGCCCCACCCCGGCCGCCCCGACACCGCCTCCTCTGTCCTGGGGGCCAGAGGTTGGAGTGAAGCGTGGCTGGGGGCGACGGGCCACGCGGGACATTCAGAGTGCCTAATAATAGCTGACACCCGCTGGGCGCTCCCCTGGTGCCTCGCGCGGTGCAAAGTGCCACGCCGAGGAGTTGACGGAAATTGGGGGAGGGTCTGGAGGGGTGGAGGGAAATGAGGAAAAGCGAAAGAGGGGGTGTCTGCAGGAGTTAGAGGAGAATGGGGGCATAGGAAGATGCGAAATGGAGGGAGAATGGGGGTGTCTCGGGGTCGAAGAAGCATGGGGGTGATGGGGGTAAGGAGATGCTGAAGGAGAGATGCAGCAGGAAGGGGGGATCTGGAGCAGAGGAGCGCTCTGGGGGTTCCGGGGCAATAGGACGTAAGAACGGTCTGAGAAGGGGTCCTCAGAAGGGATGCCCGGGAACAACGGTGAGTTGGGGGCTACTAGGACAGTGAAGGAGCTGGGACTATAAAATACGAGGGATTAGGGTCTGCGGGGATTGTGGGGGCTCTGGGGATTGCCAGGAATTAAGAGGAGCTCTGGGGGTAATGCGGTCCGGGAGTAAGAGGGGACAACGGAGGCGGTGGGGGACTCCAGGAAGAGTGAGGGTCATGGAGGGTAGGGACCGAGTCGGGCCGCGGGTCACTCACCGGCGCCGCCGCAGCCCCCGCCTGCCCGTCGGTCAAGGCTCGGGCTTCTGCGGCCTCTTTCCTCCCCCCTCCTCTCTCTTCCCCCTCTGGGCCCCGCCCCCGGCCGCCCCGAGAGCCACAGCGCAGGCGCACCTAGCGCCAGTCAGCCCCCAACGCCCTTACCGCTAGAGTTTCACGCCCCTCCCACGGCGCAAGCGCAGAATTGCCTTCCTCCGGCCTCCTCGAGCGGGGCTTAGATGCGCAGGCGTTAGGTCGCGGAGCTTCTTGATGCCTCAGCGGCGTACGCGGAAGTCTGTGTACGCATGCGCGTCCCTGGCTCTCCCGCTAGCTTTGGTACCCGGGGCTCTGTCCCCGCGCAGGCGTAGCAGTCCTCGGAGGTGGTGGGAGAAATGATGGAGAGATCGCTGAGATCGAGCGCCGTCCTCGCCTTTCTGACAGTCTTCCTGCCTAACCCAGCGCTCTTACCCTGCTTGGGTGCCTTTTCCTAGGAGAGTGGGGAGGGAGACGGCGCTGGAGGCGAGCGCTCCGTTTCCATGACAACTGTGTGGGTGGGGTGGGGGCGTACGAAAACCTGATTGCCGCCGGCTCATACCTGCCCCAGCGCGGAGCTGCTCTGGATCCGCCAACCGTTGGGGCGGGGCACCCTGGGGATATTCCACCTCAGGCGGGTGCAGTAACCATGGCAACCCGTCAACCTTCCAACCGTGCCTGGGGGGGCCCCCTGTCCACACACTGACGTCATGGCGCGGGGAGGGAGAAATTAGAGGGAGAGTCTGGCGAGTGGGGAGGGTGATCCTGGCGCAGGTATGACTTTAAGCAAATGCGCGGAGGCAGGAGTGAATCTAGAACACGGGTTGTGTGAGCTGGAAGAAAGCATGATGGAGTTAAGTCCGGCCGAGAAATTTGTTTTGTATCCTGCAGGAGTTCTCAAGGTCATTCAAGAATCGGTATTTCAGGGGCGCCTGGGTGGCTCAGTGGGTTAAAGCCTCTGCCTTCTGCTCAGGTCATGATCCCAGCGTCCTGGGATCGAGCCTGGGATCGAGCCTGGGATCGAGCCTGGGATCGAGCCCCGCATCGGGCTCTCTGCTTCCTGCTCTCTCTCTCTCTGCCTGCCTCTCTGCCTACTTGTGATCTCTGTCAAATAAATAAATAAAATCTTAAAAAAAAAAAAGAATCGGTATTTCATTCATCTAGTCAACAAATAGTTATTAAGCACCTCCTTGGTTCCAAGTGCAGTGAATACAAAAGACAAAAATCTATACCTTTATGGAGCTCACATTTTAGTCGGGAGTAACAGATAATATGCAAAATAAGATACCTAAGTGAGGAGGTGATGAGTATTATGGGAAAAAATGGAGGTAGGAAACGGGGTTGGGGGGTATGGTGCTCATGTGTATGTTTGTAATTTTAAAATAAGTTGGGGTGGGGCGCCTGGGTGGCTCAGTCGGTTAAGCACCTGCCTTTGGCTCAGGTCATGATCCTGGGGTCCTGGGATCCAGCCCTGCATCGGGGCTCCTTGCCCTGCGGGAAGCCTGCTTCTCCTCCTCCCACTCCCTCTGATATGTTCCCTCTCTCGCTATGTCTCTGTCAAATAAGTAAATAAAATCTTTAAAAAAATAAGGTGGTTAGGGGAGCCCTCCCTGAGAAGATGACATTTGAGTAGACACACAAAAGAGGTGAGGGAGCAAGTGCAGCGAGAAGCAGGACACTGCCTCCTGTGTTCCAGGACCGTGGAGGAGGCGAGTGAGGAGGGAGGGAAGGGAAGTAGATGGCACAGGCCTCATGGATCCCTGTAAGGAGGCTGGCCTTTACATGAGTGAGAGTCACAGGAGGGCCCCTGTGCAAAGGAAGGGCATGATCCGACCATTCTGGTTTTAGGAGGATTCCTCTGGAGAACTGGGTTTAGGAAGCCAGGGTGGAAGCTGGGTGCCCCTTGAGTTGTGGAGAGAGGTGGTTCAGGAGACAGGTGGTGATTCCAGTCAGGGTATTAGCTGTGGAGGTGAAATGAAGATAACGGGGTACAGAAACTTCGAGAAAGAAAGTTCAGGATGACCCCAACATCTTTGTCCAAAGCAAGGAAGGTTGGAGCTACCAGAAGCAAAGAAGGGCAGGGCTGCAAGGGGATCCAGAGTTCAAGTTTAGGGGCCCCTGGGTGGCTCAGGTGGTTGAGCTACCTTCCCCTCAGGTGAGGAACCTGGAGTCCCTAGATGGAGCTCCGCAGGGAGTCTGCTTCTCCCTCTGTGCTCCCCCTGCTCATGTGATTTCTCTCTCTTTCTAATAAATAAATAAAATATTTTTTAAAAGGGTGGGAAGGGCTGCCTGGGTGGCTCAGTCAGTTAAGTGTCTGCCTTCAGCTCAGGTCGTGATCCTGAGTCCTGGGATCGAGTCCCACATTGGGCTCCCTGCTCATCGGGGAACCCGCTTCTCTCTCTGTCTGCCTCTCCCCCTGCTTGTGCGCTCTCTCTTTCTCTCTGACAAATAAATAAATAAAATCTTAAAAAGTTCAAGTTTGCCCAAACCTGAGGTGCCCTTTACTCCACCAAGTACCAATGTCAGGCAATTGGATATTTGAGACTGGACTTCAGGGGAGAGGTTCAGGTTTGAGCTATAACTTTAGGAGTTGTCAGTGATTAAATGACATGTAGATCCCTAAGAATAGGCAAGGTTAAAGAGGGAGCAACTGTAGATGATAGTCTGGGGCTGCGGCACTCCAGGGTAGACGGCTGACATCGGCAAAGGAGGTTGAGCAGGTGCATTCAGTGAAATGAGAGGAGAACCAGGCCTGTCTGCTGTCCTGGAGGCCAAGTGCAGGGGGCAAATCAAGGATGAAGGAAGAATTAATGAGGCCAAATGCTGCCTAGAGGCCAAGTCCAGTGAACCTGAGAACTGACCATTGGGACCAGCAGTATGAAAGTCATTAGTAATCTTGAAGAGGGCAATTTTAGTGATGTCTTGGAGGCAGTAGTCTGATTGGATGGGTTCAAGAGAGGGCTTATTAGAGTGCATGTGTGGCTCAGTTCGTTAAGCATCTGCCTTCTGCTCAGGTCATGATCCCAGGGTCCTGGGATCAAGCCCAACATCCCTCTGTCTGGTTCCCTGCTCTTTGGGGAGTCTGCTTCTCCCTCTGCCTCCACCCCTTCCCCCACACATTCTCTCTCTCTCTCTCTCTCTCTCACAAATAGATAAATAAAACCTTAAAAAAAAGAAAAACCTTAAAAAAAAGATTGATTGATTGATTGATTGATTGAGAGGGCTTGAAGAGAGCCAGTGTAGATGGTCCTTTCTTGCCCAGCAAAGGGGTGTATCTGGAAGAAGTCCTGGAGTCCTATTTAAGATAAGAGTTGTAATAGTATGTTGTGTGCCTATTCATGATAATTCAGAAGAGGGGAGATTGATGGTGCCAATGAGGGAGGGGACAGTGTCTGGAGCCACGTCCTTGAATAGACACAGTAAGTGGGACCCAGGGCAGGAGTAGAGGGTGGCCTAAGGGGCAAGAGCTGTTTAACTACAGAAAACAGCGGGATGGGGAGGACACGGAGGCAGGCAGGAGACAAGATGTGATGTTAGGAACGTATGAATGTTCTCTTCTGTTCCTTAGGTTGTCTCAGGAGAGTAGGAAGCAGGGTCTGAGGTGAGAGAAAGATCCTGAGGTTAGGGAAGACACAGGAGAAATCCCTGAGATAGTGAATGAGTGGCCAGGGAAATGTAGACAAATAGACCCGATCATTCAAGGTCATTGGCTTTGAAATTGAAGTGAGTTGGGTTTTTCTCTAATTACATTACTCTGAGTGTGTGCAGGTTCACAGTGGGTAACAAGGCGACTTTCACCAGGCCTGGTTTTGTATGAGGTCCTACCATGTGCCCCATGATGGGTAGGGGACCAGGGGCCAGGGGCAGCTCATGCTGGACCTTACGGGCAACATTAAGGAGCTTGAATGCAATCCTACGGGCAGTGGGTTCTGAGCAAGGAAGGACAGGGTCTGATTTGTGCTTTAGAAAGACACCCAGCCTCCCTGCCCCACTGTTGTATAGACAATAGATGGGAAGGGGGAAGATTACTGGCTAGACTCAAAGGAGAAATCTGGGACAGAAGAGGAAGAGGGATGGGGGAGACTAGGCAGAGACGGTGGGAAGGGTAGAAATGAAGACATTTGAGAGGTAGTATGTACAGGGCGTGTGACTGTCAGTCTGGGGAGGACAGGGGAGCCCTCTAGGTGACAGCAAGTATTCTGATCCAGGTTCCAGTTGTATGGAGTCAGTTAGGACATGGTAAGTATAAGGCGCTCAATAAGTATTATGGGTTGAATTCCCACCCCCCCCCCCCCCCCAAAAAAAAGATATGTTGAAGTCCTAACCTCTAAGATTTCAGAATGTGACCTTCTTTGGACATAGGGTCATTGGAGATGGAATCAGTTAAGATGAGGTCATACCGGAGTAGGGGGCGCTCTTAACCCAACATGACTGGTGTCCTTACAGGAAGAGGAAAAGAGGTACACAGAGGGAAGACAGAGACAGAGATTGACCAAGGGAGGGCCGGGGCAGCCAGAGGTTGCAAATGGCAAGGAAGGATCCTCCCTAGAGCCAACACCTTGATTTTGGATCTGTAGCCTCCAGAACCGGGATAGTACCTTTGTATGTTAAGTCACTGGTTTGTGGCCGTTGGTTATGACAACCAGGGGAAAACTCACATGCTGGGCACCCACAGGAGGCATCCGGGATGCTTGTGGCCCCACAGAAGACTGAGTTGGGGGGAGTTGCATCTAAATCAGGTCTGGAGCTCATGAAAAGGCTGAAGACAGGGAGCCATGGGCAGAGGTGAGGCATGTGGAGCTCTGCAGGTGTGGGTATAGGAGGTTAGAGAGCAAGGGCCTGGGATGGGGGCAGATCGGGGAAGTCTTTCTAAGGCTTAACTTTGGGTCCTGAAAAATACTTAATGGGTTGTGACAAGCGTTAAAGACATGAAATAAAACAAAATCGGAAAAAATCGGACTGTGTTATATGAAGTACAGCACAGTACCTCT